ATACTTTTGGAAAAATCTGTAAGAGATCAAGAAGGAGCATCAGTTCTTAGCAGATCACTCTGTTCCTGGGGAATAATTTACATTGGTCTACATGCAGGGCCGGACTGGGAGAAAAATTCAGCCCGGGCATTTTTTTAGCACAGCGGCCCACTAAGAAGGGGGTGGGGCAGAGAGGGTGTGTTTCGTCATCACCAAAGACAAACACGCCCCCTCTCAAAGTGAGCGTTGGGTCAATGCTCTTCCAGGGCAGAGCTCTGCTAAAGAGCTCTAGCATGAGAAGAAAAAAAAACCTGTATTTGTTCTGCACAGTACAAGCAAATTTAATAACATGCTTGCACTGTGTTTCCTTGAAACTTGTCTCTGGTGTCTCTATAAATGGATACCTGGAGACAAAAGGGCAAGGAAAGAGTATTGTGCATGTGTTTGGAGCCTGCTTTGGGATTGTGTGTGTGCAGAGTGAGCTGGTCGTGGTTTGGTATTGTGTAATAAGGTTGGTTTTAGTCGTGTTGTGTTTGTGGTGTAATGTAATGCATATGTGGCTAGGAGTTGAAGAGAATGTGTGTATAGGGGATGTAGTAAATGTATGCACACAGGCTATAGTGTGTGTGTGTATATAGGTGATGTAGTGTTTGTAGGGGTTGTAGAGAGTGTGCGTTTAGGGGTGTAGCATGTGTTTGTTTACAAGGAATCTAGTGTGTGTGTATCAGGGATCCAAAGTGTGTATGTTAGGAATGTAGTGTGTGTAGGTGGTGCAGTGTGTGTGTGTGTGTGTATACAGGAGTCTAGTGTGTGTTTGAAGGACCCAGAATGTGTATGAGATCTAGTGAGTGTGTGTATATAACGGAATCAGAGTGTATATAGGGATTTAGTGTGTGTATATGATCCATAGTTGGGTAAGGGATATAGTGTGTGTCTGGAATGTAATATGTTTAGCGGTGCAGTATGTGTGTGAGCGGTTCAGTGTCTGTGAACGGTGCTGTGGTGTGTGTGTGTATATATATATAAAATATATATATATATATATATATATGTTTGGAAGTATTGTGTGTGTGTGTGTGTTTAGTGCAGTGTGTTGGGGTTCTGCGTGTATGTGTGAGGGGTGCAGTGGGTGTCTGTGAGGGGTGTAGTGTGTATGTGAAGGGTGCAGTATGTGTGTGTGATGGATGTTGTGTTTGAGGGGTGCTGTGTGTGAAGATGCTGTGTATGTTGTGTTTAAGGGTGCTGTATGTGGGTGCTGTGTTAAAGGGTGCAGTGTGTGTGATTTGTGTGTGTGTGTGATGTGTGTGAAAGTGCTGTGCTGTGTGTGAGTGTGCTGTGTGTGATGTGTGTGAGAGTGCTGTGTGTGAGAGTGCTGTGCTGTGTGTGAGAGTGCTGTGTGTGATGTGTAAGAGTGCTGTGTGTGAGAGTGCTGTGAGTGAGAGTGCTGTGTGTGCTGTGTGTGAGAGTGCTGTGCTGTGTGTGAGAGTGCAGTGTGTGTGAGTGCTGTGTGTGATGTGTGTGAGAGTGCTATGCTGTGTGTGAGAGTGCTGTGTGTGAGAGTGCTGTGTGTGCTGTGTGTGAGAGTGCTGTGTGTGCTGTGTGTGAGAGTGCTGTGTGTGAGAGTGCTGTGTGTGAGAGTGCTGTGTGTGAGAGTGCTGTGTGAGTGCTGTGTGTGAATGTTAAAAGTGATTGTGTGTTGGGAGGGTAAAAAAAAACAACAACAAAAATGCATTATATCTGCCCCCCCCCTTTACCTTTAGCCTGGGAGGGGTCCGGCACGGTGGTAGCTGGGAGGAGGGGGACCGGCACACTCACATCATCCCTGGTGGTCCAGTGGAGTTCACTCTCGCGAGATCCGGCGCGTTGCCATGGCAACGCTCCGGATCTCGCGAGAGAAACCCGGCGGAGCCGCAAGATAGAGCTCCGCCGGGTCCTCTCCCTCTCTCCCCAGCCGCAGGTCTGTTTAAATGGGCCGGTGAGGGAGATCTTTGATCTCCCCACCGGCCCTCCATGGAAGACAGCGGGGCCGGCGCTCGGATAGTGCCGGCCCTGCATAGACCGGCCGGGGAGATCCTGGGACCTCCCCTGCCGGCCTCGGCCCCCTGGCCACCGCGGCCCACCGGGCATTTGCCCGGTGTGCCCGATGGCCAGTCCGGGCCTGTCTACATGGACCCACTTATATAGAACTCTGCATTTCTAAAACTGTTATGCCCAATGTTTCTATGATTATGTAGGGCTCTTCGCAATTTGCATCCCAGGGAGAATTTTGCTGAAATTTTCAATCATTATTAAGCCTACCCCCCTTTCTCAAACAGAGTTTTAGGAGTAGATACAATTTTACAATTTGTTGGGGCCAAATATGAGACCTCCCTTGGACAGTGTAAGTGCACCTATGAAATTATTCTGTATTGACTTCTAGGGGCTGTCTGCAACTGGCGCTCTCTGATGCATATGCCTTTGTTGCTTAGGGCATTCTAAGATATGGATATACTTGGGCACAAATAAGGCATTCCTGAATGCAATGTAAAGCTGAATTTGTTATTTCAGGACAATAAGATTTCAGTCTAAGGTGATAGTCAAATGCCATCTCTCCAATGTGACACATAAAAGCATGTGTTTGTTGTGTATTGGGCCTGTGTGAACGGTGTGGGGCAGTAAACAGAAGGCTTGGTTGTTGCCCATTAGGATTACTGTAACACAGCAACCCTTCTTTTATAGAATAACCAATTTGAAGTGTTCGATGGTTCTGTAATAAAAGAGAAAGATTAGGATTCCTATTCTGTTCTGCTTTTAAATTTGGCACGTCTGAACCTTGACCAACAAACTTGGCTATCAAAGTAATTAGTACTTTGCATGTGAAGTGCTTGCTCTATCTCAATATCTTTTACATGTAAATGCCATTGATATCCATCTAAGACAGCCTCCTTTGCTAACAAATACACTTGCACATTTGAATGAGTGTTTACCTTTACAACTGCTGACTGGAGGAGGTGCTTTAACCCCCGTCCAACCAGTTTCCCAAGATTCCATAGGTACAGATAGTTTGATCTGGTGGCATAAGCACTGTCACTATGGATACAAATAGGGTGTGTGTCAAATTCCTTAGACAAATGTAGAAGTCCCCAAAACTTCTTCAAGGATTGCTTGTTAAAAGGTCTGGGCAGGGGTCAAGTCCTGGGGAATAAAGTGTGGGAACTCACCCAAGATTAACCCCCCCCCCCAAAAAAAATAATAATATGCACTCTTATATATGCATGCACACATACTGAGACACACACACACAGACACACACACACACACACACACACACAGACACACACACAGACACACACACTCACAGACACACATACATACACACACATACATTCACAGACACACACACATACTCAGACACACACAAACACACTCACAGATACTCAAAGACACACGCATTTTTGAGTGCCTGCAGGAACTCTTTCTTTAATTGGGCAGCTGTGACGGCTACTCCCAAAAATGTTACCTTTTGTGTGAGCAACCCTTGAAGTGTTTAGCTTGAATACAGCATTTTGAAATTAAGCCACACAATTCCCTTAACAAATCCATATGCAGTTGCACTGTCTCTGTTTGCAACAAGATATCATATACATATTGCATTATACTGGATGGAAAAGAGAATGCCTCTAATTCTGTTGCTAAGGTCTTGTGAAAATATGTTGGAGAGCTATGAAAGTCTTGAGGTAGCGTTGCATCTAGGAAAACAGGCTTTCTCACTCTTGTATGTTTCCACAAAACATTATCACAGAGGTCTATCAGCATCCCTTCTGTTTTCATTACATTTGCACCCAGCATATTACCTTCAGTATTCTTTCTTTGCCATATAGGAATTTTCTTATTCCACTGAGCACTTAAAGTCAAAGTCGCCTGTGGCATGAGAAAAGCCTGGGACTGGGATCCCTCAAGTCCAACAAGAAATGTTTGTTTTGCCTCACAAGGGGAACTGGTAGGTCAGTAAATGTCACTGAAGCTCCTGTATCAGTAAGAATCTTAGTCTGTTGTCTTGACATAATTCCATTCACGTAAGGACCTCCTGCATGGTCAATAAATGTGTTACAAATAGGAACCATGCTATCCAGTGATAGTCATTCCAAAAAAGAAATCAGAGGAACTTCACCCCCAGATAAAAACTGTCAGGGCCCCCATTCTGACCCCCTGCCTAAGACCAAACTATATGGTCCTGCGCGGGAGGCTCTGTGAATGATGACTGTACTTGGAGCAGTGACTAGCTACTCTAAAATGAATCAAGATGGTGAAGTTCCTCTGATTTCTTTTTTGGAATGACTGTCACTGGATGACATGGTTCCTATTTGTAATACATTTATTGACCATGCAGGACGTCCTTACGTGAATGGAATTATGTCAAGACAACAGACTAAGATATGGCCCCCCCCCTTATTGTTATTTAGGGCCCCCACCCGCCGCTCAGGGTTGGGGGCCAGGGGGAGGACAATAGGTCCCCCCCACCTTTCAAGTATTTTAGGGCCCCCACTTGAGTTTAAAAACCCCCACTCACGGCACGGGTGTGGGCTCGGGAGGGGGCCCCCGTTTTTTGTTTTTTTTAAACAGTGAGCAGCCACAGGCTGCTCACTATTTAATAGACATGCCCCTACTTGCGGTATAGCGAGTAGGAGCATAGTGTACTAATACTAAGTAATTTTTTTTTTTTTCAATTTGACAATTTTTATTTTGTCATAGATATACGAATATAAAGTAAAAAGTTATAGGGGGTACAGAAAGGAAGAAGGGGAGGGGGTATTAGCAGTGGAACATACATCCTTCAACAGTGATACTAATCAACATTACATGGTTCTGAACACTTTACATAGTTCTGATAGATACCAGTTGCTGCCTGCCTAGTGTTGCTATGGCTATCTTGGTTGTAGTCTGTGTGTGTTTTAACGCTAAGGTTGGGCTGCTCTATAGGAATATTGTCATCAGGTCGGGTGTTTTAGTTCCCAGTTTTCCCATACTTCATGCCTCCAGCTCTTATTGGGTGGGATGCGGGATAAGCTTGATTCAAATTTCCCAATTTGGGACAAGTGCTTGATTAATTCTCGCATTGTTGCATTTGTGGGTGATAGCCAGTTTTTTGCGATAAGATTTTGGGCGGCTACTAGTATGTGTAGAATTAGGTATTTAAGTGGTTTTGGGTATTCGGCTTCCCACAGGAATAGTAACAAGGCGTTGGGGGAGTTTGGTAACATAATTGAGGTGTGTTTGTGAATGAGTGAAATGACTTCTTTCCAGTACGGCTGGAGTTTTGTACATTTCCACCAAGTGTGTAAAAAAGTGCCTGCTTCTTGTTTGCAGCGCCAGCAGGTGCTGGACATTTGTGGGTCCATGGTGGCTAGGCGTGTTGGGACCATGTACCAACGGTAAAAAAGTTTACGGGTTGTCTCTAAGTGTGAAGCGCAAAACGTCAGGCCTCTGGTCGCATTTGCTACAGCCAGCCAGGTCTTCTCTGGCAGTGTTTGGTCTAGATCTTTTTCCCAGGAGCGTACACACGTGAGGGATTTTATTCCCTGTTGGGGCAGTAATAGCTTATATATGGTTGAGATGGGTTTTACTGCTGGCGTGTCTGCCATGATGCTCTTTTCGAAGTTGGTTAGGGTGCTAGTGGTGTGTGATATGGGGTGTGGAGCCTGGGTCTTCCACCAGGATTTTAGTTGGAGGTAAGAGAAGTGTGCTACATTCGGCAGTGTATACTTGGCTTTTAAATGGTCGAATGAGGCTAATTCTCCTTTCTCTATTAGGGAGTGTACGTAAAACACCCCACATCTGTTCCATATTTTGAAGTTGAAATCAGGTATTTTATGTGTCAGGGTTTTAATTGGGGTTGATAGGGGGGTTGGGTGGCAGCTGCACAGGAGTTTGCGGGTGTCATCCCAGATTTTCAATGTTGTTAAGGTAGCAGGGAGTGCCTTTGTGATGTTTGCCCTTGAGTGGGGTAACATCCATAATGTTGTTTGTATGTCTTGCGATTGCAACCAATGTTGTTCTATGGAGACCCACTGAGGGGGGGACTTGCTTTGGTGGATGGGGAGAAGGCTGGCCAATACTGCAGCTTTATGATAAAGTTTCACATTAGGGAGGCTCATGCCACCCATCTGCACTGGTCGGTGCAGTGTAGATAAGGCAACTCTCGGACGCTTCCCTTGCCATATGAATAGGTTAATTTGTTTTTGGAGGGATATAAAGTAGGTGGACGGTAGTGTCAGTGTGAGTGTTCTAAATAGATATTGTAGTTTGGGTAATATTACCATCTTTACCGCTGCTATTCGTCCTGACCAGGATATAAATTTATTCCGCCAGTGAAGGAGGGTGTTAGTGATCTCCTTACTGAGTTTAACATAATTTAGATGGTACAAGTTGGATATGGTGTGCGGGAGTTTAATGCCCAGGTATGTGAGGTGGTCTTTCCTCCAATCATATGGGAACTGACTCTTCAGGTTGGACAGATAGTCGTCCTCCATACTCACCCCCATGGCCTGTGTTTTAGATAGGTTCAGTTTGTAATAAGAGCAATGGCTGTATTGTTGCAGTAAGTTGTGAAATGCTGGTAAAGATTTGTGTGGGTTCGTTAGGGTTAGGAGGATATCATCAGCGAAAAGATTTAGTTTGTATTCCGACCCACCTATTTTTATTCCCGTTATCTCTGGTGATGTGCGTATGGATTCGGCTAGTGGTTCTAAAGCTAGAATGTATAGGAGTGGTGAGAGAGGACACCCCTGGCGGGTGCCGTTGGTAATGGGAAAAGGCCTCGATTGGAATCCAGACGTGAAGACCCGGGCCTCAGGGTTACTGTATAAAGATTTGATCATGGAGATAAATTGTGAAGGGAATCCAAATTTGACCAAGACCGCCTGCAGGAACGACCAGTGCAGGCGGTCGAAGGCCTTCTCAGCGTCTAAGGACAAGAGGAGACTGTTGGGGAAGCGCCTGTGCATTGTGTGTAGTAACGCGAGTGCTTTCCTGTGTGCCGTCAGCTCCCTGTCTGCTTCGTACAAAGCCAACTTGGTCTGAGTGTACTATGGTCGGCAGTATAGATGTCATTCTATTGGCATAGATTTTGGCCAGGATCTTCACGTCCGAATTCAATAAGGAGATCGGTCTGAAATTCGCGCATTGGGTTGGTGATTTGCCAGGTTTGGGTAGGGTGGCCACATTGGCCGTGAGCATATCTGGTGGTATGTTCTCTTGTGTTGTGGTAAAAGTGAAAAGTGACGTTAGCCGGGGGGCGAGTATGGAGGAGAACCTCTTGTAATATGTGTTTGGCAGTCCGTCTGGGCCTGGGGTTTTGTTTGGCGGCAGATTTTGTATAACCCTGAGCACCTCTGTTTGAGAGATGGGTTCAGCCAGGAGCTCCTGTTGGGTCGCTGAGAGTGTAGGTAGGCGGACTTTGTCTAGAAAGGTAGAGATTTCTCCCTTTGTGGGCTGGTGTACTGTAGCGTCATCTTTTAGGTTATAGAGTTTGCTGTAAAAGTCTGCGAAAAGTTCGCTGATTTGTTGTGGCTGGATTATTTTCTGTCCATCCTGGGAAGTGAGGTATGCTATTTTGGTTTGTGCCTGCACGTCCCTGAGTCGAGTGGCCAGGAGCGAGCTAGCTTTGTTACCCAAGCAGTATTCTTTGGCTTTCAGTTTTTGTAGTGTTCGGGTTGTGTTCGCTATATTAAAGTCGTTGAGGTCTGATTGTGTTTGGGCAATAGTTGCCGCATCTTTTGGGTTCGGGTGGAGAAGGTGGGACGCTGTAGCGTCTCTTAATTTCCTTAATAGATTAAGGTATTTAGTTTGGGAGGTCCGTTTTAGAAAAGAGGCCCTTCGTATAAACAGCCCTCGCATTACGGCCTTATGGGCTCTCCATATCACTGCTGGGGACATCCCTGATGTTTCATTCTCGGAAAAATATTGTTTGAGTGCTATATCCATGTCTGAACTGAATTTATCGTCGTGTAAAAGGGAACAGTTGAGGCGCCATGGGTTGCAACCTCTAAAAGAGAAGTTATCCCTGAATGTAGCGAGTATTGGGGCATGATCTGACCATATGATGTCACCAATGTGACATTTTTGAAGTAGGTTGAGAGATGGTCCTGCTATAAGTATTACATCTATTCTAGAGTGTGTTTTGTGGGGTTTAGAGTAATATGAGTACTCTCTATCCAGAGGGTGGAGCAATCTCCAGCAGTCATAGAGGTTGAATTTCATCAACAATTGTGTTATGGCCTTGCAGGTTGGTTTGAGGGATTTCTGTCGGTTGGTGGAGGAGGGCATAGAGGTATCTAAGGTTGGGTCTAATACATGATTTATATCTCCGCATATAATAGTGTTGCCTCTCTGTGCAGCTGCCACTTTCAGGAGGGTACTGGTCAAGAAGTTTTTCTGATTTTCGTTAGGTGCGTAGAGGTTTACTATTGTATGTTGTACATCATTCAACAAACAGACAACAATCAGGTACCTGCCCTGATCGTCTGAAATGGAGTGTAGTAGTTCAAAGGCTACTGAGTTGTGTATATATATGGAGACTCCTCTGGATTTGGACATGTGCGTGGCGTGGAACTGATGGGGAAAATGTTTCATTCCAAATTGTGGGATTTTGGCTTTGGGAAAGTGAGTCTCTTGGAGACACAGTATGTCTGCTTTTGATTTCCGAGCTTCTTGAAGTAGCATATGCCTTTTGTGTGGCATGTTGAGCCCTCTGACATTATGGGAATAAACTATCAGTGTATGGTATAAGGCAGAGCGCTATCGGTCAGGTCAGTGTCTTGAGAAGTGAGGTGTACTTTGTGCTGTCGTTCACAAACCGAGGACCCAAGGGTTCCACTTTGTACGGCACGTTTTTGCTTGGATGCTTGGGTAGGGTAGGGAGGGTGGTATCCCAACAGGGGAGTGAAACAGGGATAGTAAGAAATAAACTTAGTTAACCAAAGTATATACATGGTGGCCCGATCTCGGTGCAAGGCGCTGCTAATCAGCGCCGTGGGGAGCGTGGGATCGGAGATGGTGGACAGGTGGTGGCCTGAGCAGGCTAACGATGTGTGGTGCCAAATGGTCTTTTGAGGAGCATCCTTAGGTCAGGTGTGGTCCTGTGTGATCCTTAAATGAACCATATGGTATGTGAAAGGCACCTTATGTAAATATAGTGAGAAACCCTTTTGGTGCTTCATTCTAGGAAGGGGGTGGGGATCAGAAACTCGAGTGGGTTTTATACCTGGGGGGGGCTTCCCTGCCGCCCGAGCGTGTCTGCAGACTGGACCCATGAGTCGTCCACTATATTACTATTGGTGTCCCTGGTTTAGGGGGTAGGTTGTTGGGCCTTGTCGGCCGGTAAATAGAGTGTGGCCAGGGGGTTACGTAAGTTCAGAGAGGTAGCATGTATCAGTAAGAGATAGACTCTAAGGTCATATACATTGCACTGTTGCTAGTACATCCTGCAAACAATAAGAACAAACATAAAACGACATGAAGATTGACAGTTATTTGCGTATTGCAAGTTGCGTATTTCAATCTCTAACGAGCTGGCTTTAAGTATAATGTTGGCTAGGAGTCAACGTTAATTATGGGCATACTGATATTGGGTAGGTCGCCCAAGCGGGTAAGGTTTTATCCAGCTGCGCGGGTGTGACTGCAGCCTAGACCCATGAGTGAGTTGTTTGCTGTATTACGTTTGGTGTCCCTGGTTTAAGGGGTACGTTATCGGTCTTTAGCGACCATCAAATAGTGTGTGGCCAGGGGGTTACGCATGCTTCAAGGAGGTGGCAATTAACAGTAACAGATAAACAATTAGGACATATACATTGCTATGTTGCTAGTACATCCTGCAAACGGTATGAACAAGTAAAGATGGCATAAAAAATAGACATTTGTTTGCGTACTGCAAACTGCCGTGTAGCTAAGTGTATCAGCGACTTTCAGGCTCTAGTGGGCTGACCCTTGTGGTATTAATAGCCAGAAGCCAATGCTAATTGTGAGTCTGTTAGGAACATGGTGGCCGCCAAAGCGAGTATACTTGCGGTAAGGCCTCAGTCGGCGATGTGCCAGTCCTTGACCACTTGTCTCGGTGGTTTTGGGGCTTGCGTGTCGCCTATGATGGTTAGGTTCCATTGATGCAGGAGGTGTATGCCTTCTTCTGCTGTTTGTACTGCGGTGGTAGTTCCATTTCTTGAAACGATCAGTCGGACAGGGAAGCCCCAGCGGTACAGGATACGGTTGGCGCGTAGGGTTTCTGTCACCTGTTGGAAGGTTTTCCGTTGTTTCAGGGTGGCTGCTGAAAGGTCTGAAAACATTTTGATGCTTGTGTATTCGGCCGGTAGATCTTTCACGGTTCTGCTTCTTCTCATCAGGAGATCTTTAACATGAAAGTAGTGAGCTTTCAATAACACGTCCCTAGGTAAGGATGTGGCAATATGTTGAGGTTTAGGCACCCTATGCAGACGGTCTAGCAGCAACATGTCTGTGGGTATTTCTGGTGTCAGGAGCTTGAAGAAGCTGTGCACATAACTGGGTAGGTCTGCCGGGAGGACCGTCTCTGGGATACCTCTCAGTCTGATATTGCTCCTTCTAGAGCGATCCTCTAGATCCATGAGTTTTGCTTCACATTTCTGGATCTGGTCTGTGAGGGATTTTAGGTCCTCTGTGGACGCGTTGTGCGCGTCGACTAAGTCCTCCATCTTTGCTTCCACGTGTGTTGTGCGAGACCCGATATCTTGGAGGTCTCGTTTAAGTTCTGCCACGCTGGATTGCCAGGTAGCCACCAGCCTTCGTGATTGTTCATCCAGGGCTCTCTTTAGGAAGGCAGCTGTGAGCGGTTCTCCGTCATGCAGTGAATCCGCCTCTGATCTTGGGCTGCTCCCCCCGGAGTGGTCGGCGCCATCTTGATGGCCTGCTGTGTCTGCTTGCTTTGCCAGAGCTGCCCCTTTCTTCTGAGCGAAGAAGCTCATTTTGTCGGGCTTATCTTGGTGCCGGCGGGTTTTGGGCTGCGACATCTTTGGGGTATAGGTTGTTTTCTTGCAGGGTTCCCACTTAGGAAAGCTTTTGCCTTGCTCGTGGTGCGGAGCTAAGAGCTCATGCGGCCATCTCTCTCCGTGCCTAGACACGCCCCATACTAAGTAATTTTTACCGTGGGAATTAGGGAGTTATCTACTAAGCGGCTGCAATAGAACATCCTACAGCTACCAATGAGGGGAAGAAGCCATGCAGAACTGAAACATTTTACAGAATTAGCTTACTGCACTTCCTTCCAGAAAAAGAATCTTATTGTTTCTAAACTACTGCGAAATAAATTTTCTGCTGGTTGGCCGGTGTGTCTGACTCCTGCGACATTTTGAAAGACGCCGGCCGCTGCGGACCCATACCAAATTATAACCCCACCACGTCCACTCACGATATTGATGATGTCAACGTGCGAATGACATGCAAAGGACGTGCACCACGTTCTGGGGTCAGATGCTGGGTACGGCCAATCGGATTTAAAGGAGACTTATTTAAACTCTTTTCTTGCCTTTCCTCATTGCCCTGTTGTGGTTTCCCTTAGTGGTTGTCTGAGAGTGTGTTCCTGAGCATTTATTTCTGGTTCTTGACTTTGGCTTCGTTTGACTTCCCTGTATTCTGGTACCCTTGACTTTTGGCTTTCCCTCATCGTTGTGCCTCATTCTGTGTCCCCGACCTCGGTAAGTATTCTGACTATTCTCTGGTACATTAAGTCCGGCCATTCTAAGGCCAGGTAAGATGTTACCTTTATTCCTAGGTGTAATACAGTTCTGCGTGCTGGATCAACTAGTATCCTGACAGTGGTGATGCTAACATGCTGACTTCACTGCCAGCACACTGGAAAATGCCTGCGAGGAGAGTGATACAGTTACAGAGAGTAAGAAGACCTCCTGCCACTCAGTCTATAGCATTAGACCTTGTGTGGCCCTGGTCTAATTTTAAGGATTTCATTGAAAGGCAGGGAATGGACCATATTTTATATACGTACTATCTGCATGTACATACATATATACGTATATATACCTGTATATGCACTTTGCTAAAAATCACATGAATTGAGAGAAACAATTAAAAAAAATTTAAAATATCCTTTTAAGCAAACACATTCTCACTGATACATATACACACCTATTGGTACACAATGTTTAACCAACACACATATTCACTGACAGACACACACATTCTCTGTGACAGACACACACTGATATACAGTCCCATGCACGTACACTGGCATACACTCACTGACACACACATTCTCACTTGCAGACCCACACTTACTGACAGATACACACACACCCTGACAAACACACACACACTGAAAGACACACACGCACATTCTCATTCACAGACACACAATGACACACACTTGATGATAGACACGGACAGACACACACACTCACTGTTAGACACTGACAAACACACATACACTGAC